ATTATTTGAAAATAAAATAGTCGTGCTTTTTAGCTGTAATTGCCTATGTTCTAATCTGAAACATATCCACCGTCTACATGGAAATTGGGATATAATTGGTTTAATTGGTTTTGAACTTAATTATTTGGAAAAGAGGGGCAAACACCAGAAAAAGTGTTCATGAGCTGCACAAAACAGATGGACTATTTAGTCATTTTGATGCTGATATTTGAAATATTATCTGTCTTTTTTTATTCGAAGCAAAGGTAATGTTCTAACTGATTTCAAAGATAGTCTGATACCAAGTCCTTCAGTTTTCTTTTCTTTTTTTTTTTAATTAAACATTTCTTTTTTCCTCCTTTTCCACCTTGTTTGACTGGACTGTTGTGAGAGCAGAGAAAGAGGAAGGGCAGTGGTTTGATTTTGGCTGGAAGACCTGAACAGAATGGAAAGAAGTATTGGGAGTATCTTTACATATGGTGGAAAAAGAAAAATCTCTGTATTATAAAATGGGATGGGTTTGTACAGTGTTGGATGTATTGGATATTATTTTTTCTGGCTGCAAAATATTAGGAAAGAACAAAATTCTGAAATAATACTGTGAATCAAAACTTAAGAATTTAAGAGTGTATCAGTGTGATTAAGTGAAGAAAATACAGACATTACTGTACTGTCAGTTGTAATTGGAGCAAGAAGGTAGTTGCACTGATAGAATGCAACTTTTTCATTGTCAAATCCCTGTGTGAAGATGTGTCTTCGATATTATATCTTCTGATGTTTTAATTTGTTTTTTTAAATGTCAAGCCCACATGAAGATGAAAGCATAGCTTGCAATCATCTGACAACCTAAATGACACAAAAGAGAGCAGTGCAAATGTGAACTGAATGTTTTTATGGAGTCTTGTAGTCAGAATTCATTTTAAAGCTTTCATTCTAACCTATTTGTGTGTAGTGTTTGTCTTCGTGTATATGTATAATACCATCTGCCTGGTGTCTCGGGAATGTCAGTGAGAAGACCTTCACGGAAAGCTTTAAAATGTGTTTCTGTATTAAGTACCACTCTGCATTTGAATCTGTCTGCAATCTCAGTTCTGCAATTTCCTCCTCAGCAAAGCCCATCTCCCTTTTATTTCTCTGAATTACTTCAGAATATGTAGTCATTTGCATTGTCTTTAATATGAAGATATTGAGCTAACTTCAAGTAAAATAATGGCCTGTTCTGGTTTTTTGTGTATTGTTCTGCAGGTTAAAGTGGGGGGAAAAAACCACAAACCTAGGAACATCATTGACTGGATAGATTTTTCAACATGAATCGTGCTTTTAGCAGGAAGAAAGGTAAGTAATTTAGCGTATGTTCCATGTGAGACATAAATACCCTGTGTAAATTCTTTTGAGCATCAAGAGTTATATAAATAAGTTCTTAGGAATAATTGTGCCTAATTAACTAGGTAGAAATGGGTAGCCTTCTGTAAAATGTACAGAGCAAAGTATCCTTGATTGATAGTTACAGACCTTTCTGGATGGTAAGGCTTGTGTTGAATTTCATAATATTTTCTTTTATTGAGATGTGTGCCTATATATACATGTATATGTGTACACACACATCTATATGAAATACACACACTTCTGTTTATCTTTTTTTCCCTGCATACACCAAAGGATGTGCTGTGGAGAGTTTTAGAACCTCTAAAGAGTTAGTGACTTCTGTATTTATTATATATATATCCATTGGGTTCTTATTCTTGGAGAAGCTATTTTAGAAAACTATATTTAATATACTTGAAATATCTCATGCAGCAGAATATCTTTTAGCTTTAAGAAGCTAGTGTGAATATGTAGCAATGTGAAATGGTGTGCTTTCCAAAAGAATATCAAACCCCTAAATATTCAGTTATCTGTGTTGCTTTTTGGGCTTGCTTATTCTCTTTTCATGGTCTCTTTATGATTAACATAGTGTTCTTTTAGATGGAGCATTAGAGGTGCAACTTTTTTTATCAACAGCTTTGTTGCTATTTGTAATACAGAAAATACTCAGTTTGTCTAATTTCTTTATTTTACATGTTTTGTTCTAAAGATCCTTAAGTGTGATACATACTGAGCTAAAGCCCCTGCTTTAATACCTAGCTGTAAAATGAATTGGATTAAGTGTAAATGTTTTGTTTATGTAACAAGAATTCCTGCTTTGGTATCAGTATCAAAGCTGTAAATAAAAGGAACCTGCCATACCGTACACCAACACGAAATGATAGCATTGTTGCATCCTCCTGTGTCTAGTACATTTATTGGTTAAAGCAGATGGATCGAAATACCATATGTCAACAGATGTAGTTTGCACTGACCCCCACTGATCCTGACGTACCATGGAATGAAACACTCCCTCAGCTGCTCTGGGCCGGCTGACAGCACGGTGAAGAAAAGCAGCTTGTTCTTGCCTCAAACGAGGACACAAGATTAAGTGAAAATTAGGTATTTTTTGTGCCAATAATGTTCAGAAAAGCTTGGTTGTATCAATGTTCATGTCTAATAACTGCATTTAAGACCAGCTTCAAACAGCTTCCATTGCTGAACTTCCCTTATTCTATTTACTGGTTTTATTCCAGACCTCAGCTACAACCATTTCCATGCTTGTGTTTGGTGGGGTTGTTTGCCGGTGTCTTCTGCTCACACAAGAGCATGGATATTTTGAAGAATTGACTATGTGATTGCTGGGAGTTCCCTAGCCATTCTCTCTAAACCCAAATTAGTCTCTTGGTGGCTGTGCTGGAAGGGTTTGTGCTAATGACAGGTTTGCATCAGTCTGTTACCTTGGAGCCACATAAAGAGCAGTCTCAAATATATAGGATTGTGAGGGGCATTTAAACAGATATAAGTGGTACTTCTACAGCAGTCAGATGTTATCTGAACTGTGCAGACTTACAGAACGTGTCTTCTAATCCTCATTCCCATGATCAGTCTACACTAGCCTTTCAGTACGAAGCACACGCAGAACATAGTACCTAGCGCCATAGCTCCTTACTTTCTTGAACCAGGTAAGCTGGTGACTAGAATAATTCTGACTGTGCTGTACTCACTGAAAAGCTTGGTTCTTGCTCCATCACCTGATTGGAGCAGCAGAACTTTCCTTCAAAGTGCAAGCACTTGGTGAGAGTTTATTTTTAGAGCCATGATTTGGGCATGAAACAGCCACTTCCGCTGACAAGGTGTGCTGGGTGCTCTGACCTGAAAAACAGCTGGTACAGCCATTGCCTGTCGGATTCCAGAGATGTTGCACAAATCAGAACTTCTAACCTGGACATTTTAGGTTTCTGTTTTAGTTGAATTTATTTTTATTTGGCTGATAGTAATTTTAATTGAAGGCTTATTTGATATACTTAAATTTCCACTTGAATATGAATAGAATTAATCTGTTCATCTTTCATCCTAATAATGACAATGAAAAACATAAGAAAAGGTGAAGTTTAAGTAAGTTCAGCTTGTTTCTAGAAGTATGTACACAGGCAATCCTAAATAAATGGAATCTTTGTGCAGTCCAAGTTGTAATATCTATTCTCATCAGTTAGCCATGAGCTCACATAACAGAGAAACGAACTTGATTAAACAGTACTGACATGAAAAGGATAGTTCGTGGGTTTAAAACTGCTATCAGCACCTGCTGAAGTTGCATGTTATAATGTGAAAAAACATAGTACCTGTTTCAAAATAAAACAGCTTTTTTGTTGACTTCAGTAGAGGTTGGTGGGACTACCAACTATGTATGTTATCCTTTCCTTGATCACTAAGAGAAACATACTCTATTGAAGTAGTTTATATAGATTATCTTTTTTTTAAGGATCTGTTTGCTTCTCCCAGAAAAACAAATTAAAGAACAACATTATGTATGTTCTTGCTGCTTTGTTATTACGACCAAGCTTGTGAAAATGTTTATGTATCTGTCACAGTGTCAGGAGCTTGCTTTTGTATGTGATCAAGATTTGGGTCATGATTTATGAAGGTTCCTCCTAATTTTTCTTTTAGGTCATGCTGAATTAGAAATGTCGTAGTGCAGAAAGTCTCTAGTGCATATCCAAGTCAGTTATTCTAGAAATGTGTTTGCATCTTTATAATTTCAGTCTCTTTTAAGTAGTTTAGGGTTATTAACCTCCTAAAGGTTTCTGTAAATGCTTCATCTTCATGTAAATTATCCTCAGTAGTAGTGTATTAGTAACTAAACAATTTCCTATTTGTCCTTCATTTATATGTCATCATGTGACAGGTAATGTCTGTACACAAAACAGAAAGCATTAACTATGGGGGTTTTGTTTTCATTTGGTTATTTTTTTATTGAATGGAGGTGCCTCTCCCATATGAGTTTGGCATGTTTTGCTGATTCTCTGGCTTTTCATTCAAAGTCATTAGTATAAGAACCTGGTGCACATAACTAAACAAAAATTAACTAGTATTTGTTGACTTTTGGCTCATCAGAAATGTGAAAGAAAACTACTGTTCCTCCTAGACAGAGGCATTTCTAAATATGGAATGACTGTAATACAAACCTTCTGGGAGTAAAAGGGTGAAACTTTGTGTCTCAAAGTGCTAAAAATGTAGGTATGTATGCCTACTTTGGCTAAATTTAGGCCTAAATTACAATGTGTTAAAGCCAGTGGAATTCAGTGAGGTTGTGGAGGGGGTAAATCACAGCTGAATTTACTTCATTCTTTATTAGACCCTAGTGGTCCTCCTTCACCCCAGAATAAGTCATAGAATCACAGAATGGTTTGGGTTGGAAGGGACCTTAAAGATCATCTAGTTCCAACCCCCCTGCCATGGAGAGGTTGGAATGTCAGCCTTAGTTTACATATGGCACAGAGTTCAGTGCCAAGGCTGCTGTTGTATGTGGGAATCTGAATTTTCTAATGTGTTTTTCCCATATGATAGAAGTTCATAGGTTGGTAATTGGTGCCACATTATCAGCCCATGAGATGTAGATGGTATTCTTAATGCTAAATATTGAAGTAATTGCCTGTCATAAATCATAAGTTTCTGCAATAACTTCTCTGTGCAATGGCTTTTTATGAGTCTCATTTATGAAAGTGTAGGCAGATACATTTAATGGGCAGGGTTTGACACATGAAAGAATGCAGTCATAAGTTATAGGGTGCTATTTTATGTGAATGGGTAGATCTTTATTTTTATTGTAAATTTATGTTGCATTTCAAAGACGGTAAACGTTGTAATTTATATTTATTTTTCTAAATGAGTGCACAACAGGTGAAGCCCTAAATGGGTGAAGGGGATAAGTATAGACTTACAGTAAATACTTTTCATTCGTCAGAGAATGTATTCTGTATTTCAAATCAGTGATTTAAACAGGCTATTGTGTCCTGGACTTCTCCATTAATAATAACGATAAAAAAAAAAATAGAGTAGATACTCATATACTTTAAAGGCGTATCAGTGGTCACAATCTTCCATACTGTAGTGTTCAGATAGTCTTGTGAGTGTACTTTGTCCTTTCACGAGACCACTCACCACTTTCCAGGTCTTAATCTTATCCTCAGCCCCCGCCCCAAAATAGCTGATGCTTAATGTTTGTGGGGTTTTTTTTAAGAATTTTTTCAAGAGCAAAGTTTGGGAGGAAGAAAGAGTGCTTTTTTGTATACCAAATATCTCTGTATTCTGTTTGTCTCACTCGACACAAAAATCAGTTATTTTAATACTTTTATAGTACCTCCACAAAGAGGTTTTGATTTTTCCAAATATTGCTCCTTAGGTTTTGAAATGCAGGGTCATGTGGAAAACCAATATTCAGTGACCAAGTCCCTTTTTTGGATTGGTAACTGAATGGTTTTTTTAGGTATTGTTTGTACTATTATTGTCTGTTCCCATTAGGCTGTGGAGGTAGCCTTTCAAGAATGCCAACAAAGAGAGTCGAAGGATTACTACCTTAATTTAACAAGGATCAAACAGTCTTCTGTTGGTGGGACAAGGAAGCATCTAGGCCTGCAACGTGTGTGTGTTTGCATGCACTTGTATGCAACTGTATATGTATTTATATTTTGAAAGCAGAAGGAAGAGGTCTAATTGTTCAGGAAGTAAATGATTACATTATGTCATTAGAGGACGCATAGCTACAAATGATGAGTATGCTTTGGAAACTTTCTCCATAGGATTCACGTTGGGTCTGCATAGATAAGCCTAGTTTTTCTTTTCTTTCTGTTGGGAATAGGAAGATAATTTCCTGTTGGCTGTTTTATCTGCATTATCTTCAGAAAGGTATTGCAGAAATCATCCTATCTATTGGCTGCTTTAAGGACTATTCTAGGCAAGTTAACAATGATCATGCAATAACTGTTGTT